GTGGTAACAGTCTAAATATACAGGAGTACTATAATAAACTGAATAACTCCCCCAACATCCTAATCCTCAGATCCTGTGAGACACTGCATTACAGGGCAGAGAGGTCCCTGAGAAGACAAGCCACCCTAGATTATCTGGGTGAACTCCCTATAAAAACCAGGGTCCTAAAGTGTCCAAGAGGAAGAGAGAAGACTCAGAGGAATATGACTTAAGAAAGGTTCAGCCCACCACCATGGCTCTGAAGACAGCAGAAGGGGCCACAAGCCATGGAATGCAGGCGCTTTTGCAAGCTGAAAAGGCAAGAAAACAGCCTCTCCATCAGTGCCTCCAAAAGCGACCAGCTTGATGTCGACTTAACTTTAGCCCAGTGATACATACCCATTTTTGGACTTCTCATCTCCAGAATTGCAATAGAATAGACTTGTGTTGTTTTAAGCCACTAAATCTGTGGTAATTGCTATTAACAAACAAATACAAGTACCTACAAAATGAAAACTTGTAGGAATGAAATGAAAGTGCCATGCACATATCCACACAGTGGTCTGTGTCTTGTCAGGACTAAACCCGAAGTAAGACCAGAACATGCAATCAACAGGGAGAGAAGTGCAGAAGCCAGAGCAGCCAGGGTAGAGATACCCAAGGAGATGTTGGAAAGATCCTCTGAAGAAGACATTAAGGTAGGCATCTCTGGAGTGAGAGACCAAACATATACATGCACACAAAGGTTCACACATGCATGCATAGGTGCACACATATAAAGAGGTATCGGATGCAAATGGAACTGGTAGGGAAAGAAGTCTGGTGATCATCCAGAGATTTGCTCCATGGACTTGAGCTGCATCTTTACACATCTCAAAAACAAAAGCAGAAGCTCCCTACACCCATGCGACTGTCACTGGACTCTTTCCAAACAAGGAGTAAACAAGAGTGTGCCTTAGTCTCCTGACATCTGTGTAACAGATGAAGAAGTGTTGACAGCTGGGCATGGTGGCATGCACCTGTCATCCCAGCTACATGAGAGGATGAGATCTGGAGGATACTGGCTCCAGGCCAGACTATGAAGAACGTTTATGAGACTCCATCTCAACAGAAAAAGCTGCATGTGGTGGCACATGCCTGACATCCCAGCTACTGAGGGAAGCATAAATAAGAGGATCGTGGTTCAGGCCAGCCCAAGCAAAACGTGAGACCCTGTATCTCAAAAGTAACCAGGGCAAAAGGATTGGCAAAGTGGCTGAAATGGTACAACTCCTACCTTGCAAGTGTGAAGCTCTGATGTCAAACCAAGTACCACCAAAGGGAAGAGAAGGAAGAGGAGGAGGAAAAAAACAGTGTTTCCCAGGAACCCACCAGAGGGAAGAGCTCACAGGAAAATCCTTGAGAATCAAGGGAAGCAAAGGTGAACCTAACCAGACACAGGCATCATCTTCAGAAGGAAGTACCAGCCTGAGTTCAGAAGTCAAGGGACTGGGGTCAGGGTCAGCCTGGCCAAACACAATTTGGCTGCATGCAACCTGCCTCTCACTCTACCTCACTGCTTTGATCTTGGGCATTCTTGCCGGCCTCTCCTTCTGGCAGCAACAAGGGATGGTCAGGGGTGTGGCCAGAAGGACTGAGAGTCACACACACACACCTCTAGCACCTTAGCTCCAGGTTAGCTAACTAATCCCTGGCCTGTCCACCCTCTGATTCTCATAGCAAGGTTATCTCTACACCTGTCAAAATTTCTGGGCAGCTTCTCCCCAAGAGCTTTCAGTTTTTCTCCCTGGAGCCACTGGGAATATAGCAATAGCACATTTCCCTGCTCTCTGGAAGCCACTACATTCCAGCCAGTGGAATTCCAGAAGAATCATCCTTCTTATGCACAGTCTTGGTCTTCTATGGCCCAGGCACAGCTGTCTATTCTTTCCTGCTAGGCTGACTGCTGTGTAACAAGAAGCAGACTTTTGCTGTGTTAAGACCCTGATATTTTGAGGTTACTTCCTATAGTCTGGCTGACACCTTGAAGGAGGGGGATTTGGTGGCATTGACTGAGTAGGGGGCACAGAAACCCCCTGAGGGAGGCCCAAGGTCCACAGTATTCAGTGGCAAACTACTGGTCCATCTCTGTCCTAGAATAGCCTAGAAGTCTGACCATATGCTGACTGATCATGTGGCCCTACTAGAAATGACCAGAAAGAGTATTAGTAGCCCAAACATAAACCTGAGACAACCTGATATGCCACAGGAGGGAGTGGAGACAAAGTTTCCAGAAGGTGGGAGCTTCAAAGCTGGGCAAGTGCCTCAAGGTGCCCAAGTGAGGGACTAAGGTCTGTCAGAACTTGGCCTTTCAGTCAAAATCAGATTATGGATGGTTACTGGTAGTCCATGTAGCCTCAGAATACAGACCACCAAAAGAGCACGTACACAGAAAGAAAAGAAACAGTCAGCCAAAGAGCCTAGGAAGGATGGTGGAGGAGGAGCCAAGGAGACACACACCAGGCAGAGCCCACTGCACTCTCAAGGGAACCATGAAGCCAAAGAAACGTGGAGCAGAGAATACCATGTGATGTTAGATACACAAGGACCCCCACACTCCAGAAGAAGGGCAGCACTCTAAGACAGCATCCTCAGCAGCCACTGCAGATGAGGCTGTGGTATAACCAAGGGCTTCAGGAAAAAATGGACAGATAGCAGAACCAGGGTCCAATCAGGAAACTGCTTCCAGTCCCCTCATAATATCAGGAGTGCTGTGGACCAGCCTCTGTGGCCACCCGTGTTGAGAGTGACCCTGATCACACTTCACCTCTGCACCCTGGCAGGGGAGCCAATTATTTGTCTTGTTAGCTCATAGGCCACTGGACCATGAGGAATCACAGCCAGGCTCTGTGGAGAGGACGGAGTTTTGAGGGGAGATGTACCCTGCCATGCTTGGCACCTGATCTCTGTCCCCTTGGGAGAGATGAGTGTGTTTTCCAAGTAGCATCAAAAGCAAAACAAATGTTAGGACACCAAAAGGGAGACACTCATTTTTCACCAAACCACCCCATTTCCTTCTGGACAGAAATAAGCTATGTTACCCAGCCTCCCTTGCTGTCATCAGCAACCACAGGCTGCATCTGGCCAGGGCAGCGGGGACAGGCAACACGCAGACACAAGTAACATACGTCACTTAAAGCCTGGCCCATACAAGCTTTCCAAGCATGACTGCGTGTTCTCCAAGGAGTGACCGCACTACAGATGGAAGAGGTCTGAGTGAAAGCTACATAAGAGAAAGGTCAGACTAGAAACAGCCAGGGAGGACCTTGTGAGCAAGAGATACATTAGCATTCAGCTGGGGATGTGTGACACAGCACTTAAGCTACCCTCAGCATATGAACTGCTTAATTTTCAAACTACAAAGGCAATGCAGAATAAAGCATTTACACACTACAGATCAATAATGTTGGGATTTCCATCCCTGCCTCCTGTCCCTGCTGGGCTGCCTCAGAGACAACCCCAGCAACAGGACATCCCACAGACATCCTACACATGCGCAAGCAGAGAAACAAGTCTGGAGGAGAGACTTAAGTTTATTTTTCTAGTGAGATTACAGTCTATCTAAGACTAGGTAAGCATGTCAAGAAATGCAGTAATGAGTGACAGATAGAGGGGGTTTTAAAGTTAAGTCAGCAAAGAAAAGCAATAAAGGCAGATAAACTTAACCTGTGCACTTAACACTCTTTTATTGACACAGAAATAGTACATGTAAATATAGAAAATACATAAGAAAAAATTATTCTTTACTACTCAATGGCATCATTGTTAAAACCTTGTTTATTTCATTTTGGATTTTTTTCTGTTGAAAAGTATTTCCTTCGGATTATGAAAAATTAGAGTATTTCTTAGTGAGCAGGCAGGTCAGAAGCATGCCATTTTATTCTTGAGTCTGGCAAATATAATAAGACAGATCAACAGCATGTTGTGTTTATATGAAACTACAAAAGCACCACCAAGTACCCTTGGAGGCTTACAGCAAAAGATAGTTATTCACAATAGCCAGGAAAGGATCAGCCTCCCTTTCCGGTTTCTCTGAGGACAGATCTAGATACTGAGGACAGAATTACAAATTCAATGGTGGCCGGAAGAGGCAAGTATGGGAATGCAACCACAGTAAACAGGCGTTAATAAACTTTACGTTCTTTCCTAAATTTGTTCAAAACAGCAATTTCTACGTTTAGACGCTCTGATTTAAAAACAGAATCAGAACACAGTTTTTGCAGCCCGTCTGTAAGCCCAATCCGCTCTTGCGCCTTTGCGCTCTGGTCTGTGTCCCGGCAAATCCCGCGGTGAGGTGGGGACAGGAGGTGCTTGGGCCTCACGAGGGACTGGAGCCCCAGCAAGAGTCCCTTCGTCCGCGTGAGAAGGCGCGGAGACCACGGCCATCCGTCTACAAGGGGAGAAGCGGCCTCGACTTGGGTTTCCAGCCTCCCGCACAGTGGCGGGCCACCCAGTCCAGTCCGGGGTGCGTTGTTACGGCAACCAGAAGGGCTGGCAGTCCTAATGCTGGAGTTGGAATACCGCCCCTGCTGTGACTTAAAGCAAACCCCAAGGCGTCCTCTGCTGCACCCACGCTCCCATATTCCAGCCCCACCAGGGAGTAAGAGGTGTCGTTGCAGCCCGGGACCGCGGGACGCCGGCTCGCCGCCTATGGAACCCGCCCGGGACCCCCACACCGAGGGAGCCGCTCCACCGCGCATCCCCCTCACCTTGGCGCGGCCCAGAGTGGACAGGCAGATCGGCGCGGCCTGGACGCCCTCGGGGCCCCACGCTCCCGACCGGACAGACAAGGACAACAGCGCAGCGCACCAGTCTTCGCAGTCAGCTGCCGTCCCGCGGACCCGAGCCCACGAAGACGTCCGCAAGCGGTCCGCACCGCCCCCGGGCCCCGCTGCCGGCGTCACTATGGTTACGGGACTCTCGCGAGAGGGGCAGAGCCTCTCTAGCGGGAGCCTCACTTCCGGGCGCGGTTTCTCTTCCGGTCGCTGCAAGAGGCCGTGCCGGGCCCGGGTGCTGCGGGCGCGGCGGGCCGCGGGGTACGGCGGTGAGTTCGGGGAGGGCAGCCCTGCCCCCTTCCCCCTGGTCCGCCCCGGGCCCCCCGAGCGGCCGTGCCGGCGTGGCGTGGCGGGGCTCCTGTGGCCCAGCTGTCGCCTGTACGTCCCCACGCAGCACTGCCCGTGAGGACGCCCCGGCGCTGCGCAGCGATGGCCGCGCCCCGCGGGACCGCCGCCTCCTGGAGACGGGCGCTGCTGGCGCTGCTGGCGTCGCAGGCCGTGACCCTGGCGCTGGGCCTGGCAGACGACGACGTCCCCGAGCAGTGGCTCCTCCTGCACGTAGTCCAGGGCCAGATCGGGGCCGGCAACTACAGCTACCTGCGGCTGAACCACGAGGGCGGGGTCGTGCTCAGCGTGCACAGCCTGCGCGGGGACGCCGACCTGTACGTGTCCGGCAGCACCCTGCGCCCCAGCTTCGACGACTACGAGCTGCAGTCGGCCACCTGCGGCCGCGACGTGGTCGCCGTCCCCGCGCACTTCCGGCGCCCCGTCGGCGTCGGCATCTACGGACACCCGTCCCACGACACCAGCGACTTCGAGATGAAGGTGTACCTGGACCGCACGGCCGAGCCGCGGCCGCCGCGCCAGGCCGCCCCCGGGGAGAACGCGGACGGCTCGGGGCCGGCGCCGGAGGAGGAGTCCGTGCTCTGGACCGTCCTCATCAGCATCCTCAAGCTGGTGCTGGAGATCCTCTTCTGAAGGTGACCCGACCGAAAGGCCAGACCCGACGCAAACGAAGCCATACAGTCTTGTTACCTCAGTTATCCCAAGTAGGAAAAGCACTGGGCACAGTGTCTGTGTTCCTTTAAAGATAAGAACTCCTAGAAAAGGAATATGCTCAATAAAATGCTTGAACTCCATTTTGGTAAGGTTATCAGCTGACAAAAGATAATTGCAGTAACTTAGGTTATGGAAATCAAAAACAGCTTTTCGTGCACTTAACAGATCCGATCAAAAATTGGTAACTTGATAGTTACCTGAATGAAGTTCCACGTTAAGTTTTTAAGAGTCACTGAATCAAGTGAGAATATAATTACACACATTTTCCTGAGCACAGACTTTGTCCTGGCCTACAACCCCCTACATGGCTCCTCCTCTCCAAACAGGGTTTCCTGCCAGGCAGGTATTTGCAGACACTGTGTTCCACCTGCACCAAATCTTTTTAGGTCATTTACCAGTTTATCATCCTGGACTACCTATGAATTAACAATGCTTATTATTAAGTAACTTTGTTGTACTACTTAGGTAGAACAGAAACAGACCACAGATAGGAAAGATTTGCAACAATAATAGTAACTTTGCAGGCTCATGGAGGAATAAGATTTTTCAAATTACTAAATATTTCTACTGAATTTGGGAAGAAAGCCAAAGCACCATTAAGATAAAAATCTTTGGGAAGATGAACTATCTCTCTACCTGCACTTGGTTTCAAGGATTAGAATAGTTTACAATGAAATAAATCAACTTTCAGATTTTAAACTCATGGTTAACTTCAAAAATCATTTATTGGCATAAAAATGAAAATGTAAATAAGGTGGCTCTAAATATTCCACTTCAGTGCATGTACATAAAAGTCAAGAAAACTATCCCTCTTTGCTGTTTTTCCCCCTTCTGCCCACTTTCCTGGGTGTTGGGGGGGCTCGCTGACAACAGTCACAAATCCAGCGACCTAGGAGAAAAATTGTTAGTTAATATGGAGTGGAATCTTACTTTTATGGGACTGAGTATTAAACCATCTAAACTATGATTGTCGCTAGTGATAAACCTCCAGGATTTTCAGGAGTGAGCACTACTGAGTTCCTTAAACCAAGGAGAAAAATGTGCCCTTACCATAACTATTGTAACCAATGCTATGTCAAATTCAGGACGTGGGGGGAGGGCGCTACACAAGGATTTGGAGTTTTGAAGATAACTGTAATTCTTCCTGAAATTCAAGCACTCACACTTTAAAAGATCAATAACATGAATTGTAATGTAAAACGTGTTACTGACTGGCTTTTGTCAGCCTTTTACTCAGCTGCTCTAATAGCACTCTCAAGTCCTGGTATACTGTGCTGACCTAGCACTTTAAAACTAGCACAATAAACTACTGCATACTTGATCTGAATTGCTATAGAACTTTTGTTTTAAATCACCTTCTTCTTAATGATTCCCAGGAAACTTAGTTTTTGGCATAGATGTCACAGACTATTACACAGTGTTAACTATGCAAATAAGTTCTGAAGTTACACAATTATCTGTGTAATGTCTTAGTCCAACTGCTGTGATTTATTCTTAGGTTACTGTCCATCCTAAAGTGAACTGGAATTGTCATGCAGTCTTACTTTATAGAAATATGTTCTAATATGTACAAAGACATAGCAGTCACGTTAACTTTCTAAATAGACACATAAAATCAAAGCACTGAAACAACAGATGTTGTTACTTTAGCTATTTCAGTAGAAAAACACTGACGCATTCTGTACATTGAACTATACTTCCAAAACCTAGCCTATGCATTCTGCTATCTCGTTTTTTAGTTGCATGATCAAGGATGAAAAGCAGGTGACTATGACCTGGGTAATCACAGCTTGAGCCATTTTTGGATAAAAGGGTCTATAGGTCATGTGTTCATGCCATTTACACAGCCTTAAAAGGAATGCTGAGAGCCTCATCATACAAAGACAGTGTGCTTCTTAAAAATCTTTACCTGATGGAATAGCACCAAGGCCCACACAAAAAGTATGATAACCTCTGTCACACACATCACAGAACATCATTTCTTCTTCGTGGTGGGGCTGTCCACATATAATGCATGTCTTACACTCCATACACTGCCATGGGTAGGTCTTAATCATAGAAACAAGCTCCATGGTCATATCCAAGCAAGAAGGATGGCCTAAATCAAAACCAACATTAGTAGTATTTCACAAAAGAATTCTGAACTCAATATGGCATATAAAATGCTAGCTTGCTTTAGGATTTCCCAAGAGTGGCTAGAATACTTAACCAAAGAAACATCAAAATACAATAGAAGAAAATACATGATAGACTTTAACTATACTCTTAAGTTGTCCTATACATTTGGTAAATGTTTGGTGGAAGTCTAGCTGCCAACTATACATCCTAGATTTGAAGTAACAAGAGTGTGAGTTAAAATCTTAAGAAGACATCTCCATACTTACCACTGTTATCACACTGGGAGCAGTGTATAAGTGACTCAGCCTTTCCTTTCTTGTTGGACTCCTTACCCTTCAGACAAATTCCACATAGAGCATTTGGAATGACCTTTGGCTGGAAGGGTAGAAGAGGGCTATAAATTCATGCCAGAAGAGCTTACTATGGGTTTAAAAGGAACTGTTATGTTATACTGTACTTTACTTTTGTAACTTGGTAAGGAGGACTTTTTTGAAAGACATACCTAGGCACGGGTTGGCTTACAACAAAATAGCCTACTGAGGAAAGCTTCAGATTTCAATTAGTAATCAGCACGAGCTCGTGCTACATTAACTATATACATAGTAGGATCTGTATAAAAAGCAGGAAGGAGAAATGAAATTACAATGTCAAGTATTAAGTGGGAGAGGAAATCCCAAGTTCCAAACCAGCCATACAGAGTTAAACCTAAGTTTTAAAACTGGTATTTTCCAAAGGGGTAAATCAGAATCTATAAAATCTAAGATTAAAAAAGAAAAGTTTTAACATTTTTAATTGAAAGATGTCTCATTCATACACTGTTGTGCATAAATGTTTGTGGAAAACAGTGATGTGATTGATCTTGCTGTGTGTCTAACAACTTAGAAAAACTTACACTAAAGGACATACGCATTCGGTATAAGATGTAAAACATTCTAAAAAGGAAAAGTAAGTTTTCAGACAAGCCAAAAAAAAAATTGTCACATAAGAAATACACAAACACCTTTATATTTTGAGGACTAATCTTTCAGATTAGAACATGCACAGTATTGGGGTAATATATGGAAAAGGAAAAAGGATCCCTTGCACCTAAACTTACCAGGACAAGGAAGGCATCTGAGCATCAAAGCCTTGACCTACAAAACAAGGCTCACTCATGCCACAGGTATGCAGATATAACTGGTAGAAAAGGAAAGCAAGTGGGGCAAGGATGAAATGGGGGCAGAGGAACACAGTAACAAACTGGGAGAGAACTGCCAATCAGTAGAGGTGTGTGTCTCTTTATTCTGACACAGCCACATGTACATCATACATCCTCCTCCTAAGTCACTGCAAATGGATGGAAACTGTACATAGCACTCTAGCTCTGAATTGTCTCACTGCCACTTTCATAACCTGTTAGACTTAAAGAATTTGTTCTTAATTCTTTTTAAGTTTTTTGTTTTTTCTTGGCAAAAGATGACAGAGACATTCAAAAACAATTTTGGCTTATTTATTTTTTAAAAAAGTCAACCTTATACATAAATATGATAAGAACAAACAATCACAAATGTCTCTACAAAATAATAAATATCATGGAAATTAAACAAACATATAGATGTCATGTTAACTATTCTACATCTCCTATTTGTGTACTTCATACCCTACTCCCCAGCATGCTCAAATCTAAAGTCTTGTGGTGTGGTTACCTCTGCTGTTACTGAGACATTCTAAGCACAAGGTTCTCATGTGCTCCTCCACCGGGTAAGAAATAGCTAAGAAGTGCACATCTATGTATTCTAGTTCAGTTATGATCAACTCTGCAGCTGCCACAATATACAGCAGAAAGCCACCTCAATCCACAAAACTAAGAAAACTCTTTTGATTATGGTACCTGTACTGAATGTAAAAGATATTAATACTTGTAGTTTAAGTCAGATACTGGCATAGTAAGTATTCTAATCTTTCACCAAAGTCAGGGGAGTAACCACACAGTATTAAATTCTAAAAGGAGAACTCCTCATAGGAGATCCTTTACAAAACAAAACTCAAAAGGAGTAACACAGGCTAGTCACCACATTCTGGAGCAATCAAGTTCTACAATCATTAAAATATACACAAATGCCTGCAATAAAGAGGGACACTCAGAAGTTCTAGGTTTTACTTTTAAGCTCACATCATAATGTTTTGCTAAACCACTTAAAATTTTCTTACCCAATAGTCTTCATCTTGTTGAAAAGAAGATGGGAGAAAGGAGAGACAGAAGAGGAGAGAAGAGGAGGGAAGAGGAGGAGAGAGAGGTGGAGGAGAGATAGAGAAGGGGGAGAGAAGGAGAAGGGGAGAGAGAGAAGTGGAGATGGAGGAGAGATGGGAGAAGGGTAGAGACATAAGAGGAAAGAAAGAAGGGGAAACAGATGGATGAGAAAGAGTGAGATGGAGGAGAGGAGAGAGATGCAAGAGAAGGGGAGCACTGTAGCATTTTTTAGAATGATGCTGAAGACCCCACACAAAAGCACAATGTTGACTATACTCCTAGGCTCTAAGAAGCCAGAGCCTGCATCCAGAACCCCACAGAGCAACAAACAGGGACTGGGAAGCTGGTCATCTCTCATGGGCTAGAGGATGGAGGGAAAGAAAGGTACAGAATCCCCCAAAGATAAACAGAACAGAGCTCCATGTGTGGCTGAGACCCTCTGTTCTACTTTGAATACTTGCAACAACACCAAAGCCTCACTGATGACAAGAAAACTAAGGTATGCATCCTAACAATCTTCAGCATGTCAAATAAAAAAAAGGCCCACAGTGCACCTGCTCTTCTTCTTGAAAGACACCCAGAGGTCAGTGACACCTTCACGGAAGCACTAATACAGTTATAGGCCTGGACCCTAACAATTATGCTTTAAGGTCAGGTTAATGTAACCTAAACAATACTGTCCTACAAATGAAGGGCAAGCACTAGTGCATCTTATTACATAAGCAAGATAGCAGATACATTATCATCTCTCTTAATTCCCATTCTAAAACATAAGTGTTTGCATCTATGTGTGTGCATATGAGCTTCAGTTTGAAGTACCCTAACACTTAGGCACATCTTGGCTTACTAATACTTTTTATAGAGAGGTTAAGTTGCAATAATCATGTTCACATTAATATATAATGTCTAGGTATTGGTTGTTCCCATCTCTGAAACACCTGAAACATTTTTAGGTACTAAAAATGTCCACAGATTATAATAAAATGTGTTTGCATATCAGATTCCCTTGTTAGTATTAGCCTAATGTGTATGATTTACTAAATCAACAATAATATGGATAGTTCTTCATCTTCAGCCTGTATTAAAATGTTCATTTCAATATTCTCTACATTTTAACTCATGATCAACCAGGCTCATTGCTTGAAGATCTCCACAGGCTTGGGCAGCTAACAGACCTTGTGCCTCAAGCCACCTCTCCCACTTGGAGCTCTTATGACCAGAAACACATACTTTCTCAG